TTTTAGATTTTTAATTCTTAACTTATATATTTAAATTTTTAGTTAGTCTACAAGCTAACTTTTAGTGTAGGGATCAGTGGAATGTGTAGAGATCATATAGGAAAAATTATTTTCAGGTTTTTATGTGTAGAGATTTTGGAGGTGGAAATTCTTTCCCTGCTTCATGGGATTCAAAAGTGTTGGGATAGAGGGTTCAAAAGAGTCATTTGCTATTCAGATTCTAAGAAGTTTGTAGAATTGTCACATGGAGATATTTCATTCACTAATCCAAAAATTAGTTTTAAAATCGGGGTTTTAAGATCAGTTAAGAGGTGACCGATCTTAATAGTGGCGCGGTGAAAATTTTGAAAATAATGTGAACACTTTTAAGATCGATTAAATTTTAAATGATCTTAAAAATACTTTTAAGATCGGTTATTTTATAACTGATCTTAAAAGGTATGTCTGACACAAATTTTAAGATCGGTTACAAAAGAACCGATCTTAAAAGTGGTATACAAGATCAGTTCTTTTAATACCCGATCTTAAAAGTTGTATCAGACATAAATTTTAAGATCGATCATAGAAAAACTGATCTTAAAAGTACTTTTAAGATCAGTTAAAATTTAACCGATCTTAAAGTATTGTAACTATTTATAAAACGCAACGCTCTCCCTTAATAATTCTTTCTCACATGCGCCTCCCTTACTTGACCTACCTTGCTCTGCAAACACAGGAGCCCGCTTGTGCCTCCATCTCCCCCGTCAGTCATTCTCCCTCACGCACGCTTCCTTCACTTCATAAAGGTAGCCCCTTGCACCTTCGTCGCTCCGTTGTTCCTCGTTTTAATCATTCTCCCTCGCTTCGCAAATGCACCCCTCACACCTCTGTCGTTCTCCTAAGATTGTTCTCTCTCATGCGCACTTCCCTTACATGGTCTCCCTTACTCGGCAAATGTAGGCTCTTGTGCCTTTACCGCTCCCCCTTGTTCGTTCTCCCTTGCACATGCCTCCCTCTCTCGGTCTCTTTCACTTCATGAATTTTACCTAAACGCATGTTTTTCATCTCTGACAATGTTTTTCCCAAAACAACGCTCCATTGGCCACCGTCGTTTTTCTTAAAACCTGATACTTTTAAGATCAATTATTTCGTAACCAATCTTAAAAGTTCAACTTTTAAGATCGGTTATTTAACTGATCTTAAATGTCCAGCTTTTAAGATTGTCTCGTTCAAGATCGATTCTTTAATCGATCTTGAAAGTAAAAAATAACCAATCTTAAAAGTCTTTTTTCACTAGTGATTGTTTCATAGGTAATGCAATGAGTTCATGGGGATTAACATGCTACTTTGCTGAGACTGATCTTGTGAAGTACGACATACTCTTAATGAGGAAAACAAATGTGTTGATGCCCTTACAAGGATGAGGGCTTGGAGAGATGAGAGTTTTGTTATAGTTTAAAGTGTCTTTAGGGACCTTCTATTAAATGACTCTAAGGAAATGTCGTGCCAAAAAGACTAGTTTAAATGGCTTATCTATTTTTCAATTTTCCTTTATTCTCTCTTGTCATGTACAAATTAGGCTCTATAATGTTGAAAATCTCATATATCAATTTGGATTGAACAGTCTACCAATCCTCCATCTTAGAGGATTTATCTTGAAGTCATTTAATATTTTCATCTATAAAATTCCACTTTCTTTGTGCACAAAAAAACGTTCGCATAACTTAAGTCCATTCTTCGTAGTTCTCACCTTGAAATTGCATTTGAGTAATCACACTTATAGATTGTTAGATGAGTTTAGATTATAAGGTGATGATGTTCTTTTAACATGATCAATTTTTAATTGTTTTGTCTCTATCATGTCAGTCACTAGAACTTTTAGTAAAAAAACTATAATTGAAGATGTGACTTTGGTAGTATATAAAGACAGACTACTAGTATCATTTTTAGTCATGTAGGAAATTTTGTAATTGATATTTATGTTTAATTTTGAATAAGTACAATTGATATTTATAAGTTTAATTTTGATTATGTAACGGGATAAAAGCTTTTCAATTCAAATTTTCCATTTTTTTTTTACTAAAAGTTCCCCATTTCGTTGCAGCAAATGATGGATGCAGGTACTAGTTTAGTGGTCGTGAATTAATTAATCTTAATCTATAATTTTAAAATTAAACTTTATATATTTGATTATATTAAATATTTGTAAAAAGTGTTTTCTCATTTATATTAATTTTACAATGTTTGACCTTTATTATCTCTAATAAAAAATTAGCCATGATTTTCAGGTGAATTATCGGTACAATCATCTTATTTGCACATATATCTTATAAAACATAATTACAAAAGCACTCCATGATATGTCCAATTAATATGATATGCGGAAATTTCTTGACCTTTCAAATAAGTGCATGCGTGCAAAGCCAGACATATAATAAAAATTATAACATTGTTTTTTCTACTGAGAAGAAAACACGCGAACAATTACTGAGTTATTAAATTTGTTATTAATAATTGTAATGACAATTAAGATTGACAGTAACATAAAATTATTTTTCTTATTTCATTATTGAAATATAATTAATTATCATACACATTTTACATATTAAATAAAAAAGTTTGTGTTTAAATTATTAATGATTAAGTTAAGCCCTTTCAATTTCGTATAAAGTGAGACATTTTACATGCTTTGACAAAAAAAATTATAGTAATGTCAGCAAATCTTCTTCATAGGAGGCAGTGACGAATAAATTCTCCCTTTCTAAGCAAACTATTTTAATCCTCGGTAATATACACACTATATATAACTAATAAACTATTATTATGTCAATGTTGATCAGTCTAAATAATATTGTCCTCAAATTTTAAGATTTTAAGTATGAATATTGAATTTAGTAATTTTTTTTAGAAAAAATAGTCTTAATGTAATTAAAATCTTGAAAAAAAAGTTAGTATTAATGACATAATTAAAAAAATTATGTAGTTATTCTTTAAAGCAAATCATATTTCAAATTGTTTAAAGGTTTAGAATATATTTTTAATTCATCTGTATTGGATATATTTTTATTTTAGTTCAATTTTTTTGTTTTTATCCTTCTAAAATTTGGAGCCACTGTTTTAGTCTATATTATTATGTGATATTTTTTTAATTACTTATATATTCATTATAAAATTTACATATAAATTTATGTGATCATTTCAAGTGGTAATCAACATTTTTTATACTTTATCTATATATAATACTTCTAATTTTTTTTATAAATCCTTAAAATAAGTAAAATGATCATGAAAAAAAATAATGAATTTAAATTTTAAAAGAATAAAAATCAAAAAAATATTTTAAATGAACAAAAATCAAAATTTGCTCATTTTACAAAAGTAAAAAATAGTTTTGTAAATTTTAAAAGGATGAAACACACACAAAAAAAAAAAAAGTTTTCATAGACAAGAAACAAAATTTATTTATTTTATAAAACTAAAAATATATTTAAATCTTTTTTATATAATCTTTTTCATGCTGAAAATTCGATTTTCTTTTATGTATTTTTCTTGCTTAAGGAAAAAGGAAAGATTGGTCAAAAGAAAAAAAGGGAAAAAAGAAAGACAAATATTTTCTATTGCATGAGTACTTCTTTCTTTTCTTATCTTCAAAGAAAATTTGAAGTACTGAAGTACTTCATTTAGTGTTTATATAATTTTTTTTAAAAGAGAAACAAAAACAGTTAGAACTTTTTATCAAAGTTCAAATTGTTTATGTTAATACTAAATATTTTAGAGCATTTGGTTCTGCTTAGGTTTTTTTTTTCTTAATTAGGTGTTTAACAGCTGTTGATATATAGTTCAACTCCAGATGCCTTTCTGCTAGACTTTAGAAGAAAATTAGCCGCAATTAAAAGTCAGTTTGAAAAACTTTACATAATATTAATGCTTAATTATCTGCGTTTTGACCCGGCGCTTGCCTTAAACATTTGTTATTAATTATATTTTGTTATGTTATGTTATAGTTTACACATGCCTTGTATACAATGTACAAACCTTTTATGCTACGGTTTCACTTTCATACTCCTTCAAACAAGGAGAATAATATTGGTTTCTTTGTTTAAATTTAAAAACAAGTGTTTTTAAACAAATATTTTAAAAAACAGATAAAAGTTACCTTTTTAAACCCTAAACATGTGTGGTGTTAACACTAGAACAGTTGCTAATGTGAAGAGGTTCTAAATAAATATTAGTGAGAAAGATGTGGCACGTTTAGATATGTATAAATCCTAGTGTGTACCTTCACTTAACTATGGTCAACAGAGACTTGGTTTGCATTTTCTCTCTATTCCATATATTAATTTCTTTCTCCTTTGTACATCACTTTGACAAAGACTTTGCTTCTAGTAAAAACACGTGGGTTCTCATGTTGAATATATTGCTACTATAACAAAGTATCTTATACGGTCATCTATAGTATAAAAACAAGAAACTTTTATCAACTAGTTATGGTGGGTGGGTAGCTAGATCTTATCATTTTCAACATATATAACAAACAGTACACATTTTTCTGACAAATTATCATTTTGATTCTTATATATATATTATCATTTTAATTACATATTTCTTTTATGAGATTTGAATTAATATTTTTGTGAATTTATACTTTCATATATATTTTTTTGGCATCTTTTAAATTTTATGCACTTATGTGAGTCTTTTAAATTTAGTAACTAATGATCATTATCAATCATATTTTTAAAAGGATGAAACTAATTATACTTGTGTGTAGGTCTTTCTGACCCAAGATCACTAAAACTCTTCAAAAGCTCCAACATAACAAACAAAGAGTCCAAAAGTGATGGTAATAGTTCCCATTTCCATGTCGTCACTGATATGAACACGCTATTTCCTGGAAGCACGCCATTCTTTGGTTACAAGTTTCTCCCCAGTCCTTATCAAAGAATAGTCAAAACTTGGACATTTTTACTTTGACCATGACAATGCACATGTTTGCATACTTAATAGAGCCAACTTTCATTCCTTCTTTAAATGAAGGACTCAGTGATTGAGTTGGGGAGTGATCACTGATCCTCACTTTCCACACCAAACCCACATGAGTGATTCCATGACCATGACTGCTACTACTGACCAATGGATGCAGTTCTATCAACAACCCCTTATGGATGGCCATGACCATGACCATGACCATGCTTTGGCACCAAACAAAGAAGGCTTCTTTGATGCAACTTTGATCACAACTAGTACCATGCCATCATCAGAGAGCAATAGCAATAGCATGATGAGCCAATTGACACCCAAGGGTAATGTATCCAAACCAATAAGGAGAAGATCTAGAGCCTCTAAGAGAACCCCAACCACACTCCTCAATGCCAACACCACCAATTTTAGAGCATTAGTACAACAATTCACAGGGTGTCCTAGCACAACCATGTCAACACTAGGGGTCCATAAGGGACCTATCACCTTGAACTTTCAACAAGGAAGTGGACAGAAGAATATTCTCCATAACAACAAAACTAGACTAGTGCTACCATTTAGCACCAGAAGCTACAACAACAACCAGGATCATCATCATCATCATCAAGTGTCTGCACCTCTTCCTTGGCAGAAGCAAGAGGACCACATACCTCAGCAGCAGTTGTTGCATCAGCAGCAACAGAGTGGTTACCCCTTTGATCATTTTGTGAAGAACACTGATTTTCTTCCAAGTTCTGGTAACTCTAGCATGGATGTTTCTGATGGTTTGCTCTATGATAATGATTTTAGTTTGCCTGATCTAACTGGGAATGGCTTCCCCAATGATACCTTTTATAAGAATGAATTATAGTTATATTTTATGTGATGATCTAAAATGTTTAACTATAAAAAGGGTTCAATTATTGAACCCCGTTCATATCAGAAAAACATAGTGGACTTTGATTAGTTATATTCAGTTGATCATAGTTGTATGTATGCTATCATAAAAACAATAATTCATGTATTTTTATGCGTTTATTTCTTCAGAGTCCAGTTTTGTTTATTCTCTGTGTCTAGCTAATAACAATTTCTTAGTTTAATTTGTTCCTGTTTGTATATTCTTTTCTGTTGTAATGTGAACGGGTTGCGTTTTCCACCTTATGAACAAAGATTCTATTCCCGCCACCATTTTTATATGATCAAAAGTTCAAAACCTCTTTTGCAAGAACTCTAACACATCGGAGGTTTTATTGTTTGTGCACGCGAAAATCAAACTTCCTAAATTGATTACACATGATCAATAAATTAAAAGACTAAGATACCATTTCTTCTTGGTCTTGTATACACTCTCATGCATCAAGTTCGAATTAATTAATAAAGACACGAATGTTAGTACGGGCTCTGCATTGTTATTAGCTTTTGTTTTCAAATCTTCAATTCCGTGAAATCTAATCACAACAGTCACCAACCAGCACGTGAAAGAGCATGTAGGGTAGGTGTTGAGTAAATATGTATCATATCAATATGGTATAGTATGGTTCACAAATAATTGTGTTCTTAAATGTAGTCATAAATAAGTCTATAAGTAAGAAAAAAGTATTTGTTAAGAAAAATTAATCTCTTAAATAAATTTTCTTATATATCTTGAGAAACTAGTCTCTTGTTGTTGGACAAAGATACTACTCTATGCGACAACAAAAGGTTCTATATAACCATCAGATTGAACAAAAAAATGGTGAAGAAAAATAACCTAAATATGCTTTACACTTAGTTTTGCCAAAGGATTCAATAATTTATCATATTACTATAACGGATTACAAACAGTTCAATTAATCGACTGGCGGACTCCATTGTCAAAGGGGCACATAAAAAATAAAAATCATTTAGTCTATATAATATATATATATATATAAAATTACATTATTAAATTATTAAAATTTTGTTAAAGAAAATAAATTAATTTCAAACAATTAAACAATCAATTTTTTCACTAATCAACAAAAAATTTACAAATAATTTTAAGAAAATAAATCGATAATATAAAGAGAAAAATATGATGTATTATTGACTTTTTTTCCTCTTTCTTGATATAAATTTTTATAAGTGTTAACGTAAAATCATAAATAAAAAATATATTTAATTTTCTACTTTTTCCTTTATCTTTAAATTCTTAAATTTTCTTTTTATTTTATAAATCATGACTTATATCCGCTAAATTCTCAACATCACCCTTTCATCACGAGTTTTTTTTGTGATATGTTAGTATTATTGATCATCCTTCCATTGCACAATAATCTCTAAGGTTAACTAATAGCCTCATATAAATGTTCTACACATTTAGTCATTTTTTATACTATTATATTTTAACCGATTATATGTATATACTTTTAAGTTTGGAAATTGAGCTATAAGTAATACTTAAATATTTATTATGATATTATTTTTTCACTTTCTCAAACGTGATTTTTTATTGATTAATTACTGGTTATGAGTGGAGGAGTTGGGTTAAATTATTGATCATGTTGATATGATGATCAAAAAAAGTGATGGATTGGAGTCTTGCTGACCTCAGCTGGGCCAGCTTCAGTGGGCTCATTTTGGCTGCATCTGCATCACTAATATCTTCAAATGCCCAAAGTCAATTCTTATCTTTTCTATTACAAGGTTCAATATCACCAATACAATAAAAAACAAGACAATGTTTGTATAAATTATAAAAACATGGCGCAATCATAGGTCTCTAACAAAGTAATGTTCAATCATACTTCTGAGAATTGTCCACTTGGTGCTTCTGATCAGAATATAGTTCCCGTTTGTGTTTCTTTTACGATTTTAAAAAATATTAATGACAGAGACTAACATCTAGCATGGTATAATAATACCTAGAGATGAAGGGCTACATATTCTTCATAAGTTATAGGGCCAATGGGAGCAAATCAATATTTTAATTTAACTGTTGATTGCCCTCATTTACACGCAGGTTAGGCTATAAAGCAAAAGCAATTCAACTATATAATGCCTTTTTTTCTTCTTCTTTCCTAATATGATAGTTCCAAGGTTTTTATAATCACAATTTAGTTTATTATTAAACTCGTTTGAATTAAAAAAAAATGTATATTCACATATAACAGGCCTAAAGCTATTAATTTGAGTATAGCTTTCATATATATTTAATTATTCCCGAGATTTAGACATAAATAAGATCTTACTTTCTAAAGAAAATCAAATTCTTTAATACTTGAACAAGTGTTGGCCAATTACATTTTTTAATTAGTTTAATTTTCATGCACAAAAGTAAAGACTTTTCGCGTAAATTAATTAGAAGTTATTTTAAATAAAATTTTAAAATAATTATTACAAAAGTCAACCAATATTAAATACATGATGTTTTGATTAGATGACTGTATAAAAAACTTTTTTCTTTTGCTAGTGTATTTTAATTAAATTCCATTTTTAATAACTAAAAACTAATAAATAAATATGCAAATTAAAATAATAAATAAATAAGATAAAATAAATCAAAATATAAATAAAAGAGGGGGAACGGAATATAAGTAAACTAGCTCGCTATATGGAATATCAATATAAGTTTTTAAATATTTATTGAAGGAAGTGAGTGGATGAGAAATGAAAAGTTATGATCCTTGCTGTTGCTGTTAGTGGTGATGATTTCTAAGGGAGCTGACTCTTACAATTGTAAAAAACAATTAATTAGTCTCTATAGGTCTCCACCATTATTATAAGGGTTTGTTTGTTTTTCTTAATTTTTTTAAAATATTTTTTTTAATAAAATAAGTAGTTTTTTTTTTTTTTTTACTTTTTAAATGTGTTTGTCTAATTTTATTTAAATATCGTTAAATTTATATTATAAAAAAAATATCGTTAAATTTTACTTGATGTGTGTTGGTAGATAACTTTTAACGTTATTCAAAAGTTATATAAAAGAGTTTTATTTGTATTTATTTTAACAAGTGTTTCTATTTAGTATATTTTTTATTTTATTTTAAAATATTATATCATTAAATGTCACGTTATTTAAATATAATTAAATGAATCAATATTAAAATTTAGTAATTAATAGATGTCATATTGATCGTAAAATTAAATTATTAAGGTTAAATATATATTTTTTGCAATTAGAATACTAAAGTGAGGAAGGAAAAGGAATTGAAGGAAATAAGTAAAAAATAATTTGATGTAAAATAAATAAAAAATAAAATGAAATTTATAATTGATTGATAGAGTGAAATTAGAATTTTTTTTTGATATTTTAAAATTATAATTTTATATAGTTAATTATTTGTAAAATAAATTATTTAAATAATAATCATGTTACCTCTTTCAGGATTTTAACGTATAATATTTTATTTTAATTTTTTTAAAATATAATTTAATAACATAATTGATTGTGTTATTTAACATAACAGGTCATGCTATGTTGTTTTTAAATAAGTTGGTGTATAATCGACTATTCTAAACCATAATGAATTGATATAATCGACTATATATTCCAAATCATAATGGATTTTCAATCGTCCATAATCAATACCAAAATAACATATGCCAAACAATAGAATACAAATCCATCATAATGGATTATGATTTGCATCTCCTCTGCCAAATAACATGTGACACCATCTCTAAGTACACAAATTATTAATAATACATGATACTCACATAATAATAAGAAAGTGTGTACCTTTCTCTATAGTAGAAAACTCCTTTGATCCTTAGAGTGCTTTGATCTTCTTGAAGAGAACCAAGATTTCACTCCTTTTGATTTTTTTTTCTACTCTCTCTATCTTTCGTGATGGCTAGGGTTTGAGAGAATACTTTCTGTCAAGGGTGTGGACCTTGTCTTACATTAGTAGATATTTATAACCCCTAAAGATTGTTATTTCCATCAAATAACAATTATTCTCATAAATGCTCCATTAAACTCATTTATGATTTAGTTTTTAATTATTTAATTATTTATTTATTAGTCCCTTTATATATTACATATTTCACACATGAGACATAATTATCTTACATTCTCCCACTTGACTCATGTGACATTTCTCACAACGGACAAATAAATTAATTAATTAAATTAACATAATGCGCATTAAAATAGCTAAATCATTTTATACATTGGGTTCATCATAATTTCATATTTAAAAATATGAACTAATTTGAGTCATGGCGGTTGTACATCAGTTTAATCGACATAGTCCCTTCCATGTACTACAAACGAGTCTTCTTCTTAATATGATCGTTAATAAGGAGCACATAATTGGTCCAACATTATATCTTTATTCAAGATAACACCTGTTTACATTACTCTAACACAAATATGCATAAAACCATAGAAAACAGGTACTCAGAAACATATCATTAATGAGCTCAAAATGTCAATCACTTAATATCAAATAAACATAATACTCAACAATCATTAGTAACAATAATGCCCATATTTTTAACATGCTCAATAAATGTTTTGGGCAGTAATCCCTTTGTTAAAGGGCCAAGGTTTGTGCTAATATGTTTTATTGACATTCTTTGTTTCTGAACTTTTTCCTTCAGGGGTTATAAATATCCACTAATGTAAGACAAAGCCCACACCCCTGACAGAAAGTATTCTCTCAAACTCTAGCCATCACGAAAGATAGAGAGAGTAGAAAAAAAAAGTCAAAGGGAGTGAAATCTTGGTTCTCTTCAAGAAGATCAAAACACTCTAAGGATCAAAGGAGTTTTCTACTATGGAGAAAGGTACACACTTTCTTATTATTATGTGAGTATCATGAATTTCAAAGATCCTTTAATTTTCTATAATTGATGTAAAAATCATAGAACTTACATGTGGTATCAGAGCATGGTTTTGAAATTGAATGATTCTCCGTGAATGATATGTGTTGTAAAATTGTATAATTTTCCATGAATGTCATATATATATACATATATAACGATTTTACAATGATCCAGAAGACATTGTCAAATTAAGAAATTTCAAGCAAATTTTTTTCTCACTGGAAGTGAGATAATTGTACAACAATGAAAAATAAAAGAATATTTTTTTCTCACCCGAAGCGAGATAATTGTACGAAAATGAAAATAAAAGAATATTTTCTTCACCTGAAGTGGGAAAATATTATGAAAAGTGAAAAAGAAAAAGGATAGATAAATAAATGAATATTATAT